TATCCTTTGGCTTAACATTTTCTTTCTTTTCCAGTAAAGCAATAACTCAGTGTATTATCAGAGTGAAAAATGTCTCATTGTACAAAATCTGTGGATGATGAGCATTTTGACTTTAATAAAATAATGTGGGTCTGACAGCATGGAGGGAAATTAAAGTGGCCCTTACAGCATTGTGCTTGTCATTCATGTGTTTTTATATTCTCATTTCCTTCCCTTCAAATGCATGCTGGTCAGTAACTCCACATGTAGAAATTCTTGGAAGGACCTGTGGTAGATTCATTTCTAAGGACACTTAAAGAATAAAGTCCTATCCTCTAGATCCCAGGAACTTTGCTTTCCAATATGTATCAGAACAATAACTTGGCTCTAGAGGACTGTAGAAAGTACAGCTTTAACTTGGATCAAAGAACCTTCTTGACTCTTGACTGATGACTTACTAATCCTTTTTGCTTACATGTTGAATTCTGAATCATAAATTGTGTGACCCTCATTGTAACAGTCACTATTGTTGTTCACTGATTCCACCTCTTATGTAGGCAACTGATTCCACCTCTTATGTGGGCAACCTCCATGCCCCATCCTGGCGTGGGTTGATCCACATGAGAAGAAGCAATGGTGGACTATGTCTGGATATGGTGGTCAAGCATCAGCAAATCTCACATTCAGACTAATCAGACCTTTTGTTAGCTATCCCCTAATATGGAAACAGTTCAGGTACATAGTTTATAATTTACCCAGGCAGAGCCTACAGTAACAAAAATAATTTCCCCTTTTATGATTCCTGAATGAGAAAATAAATAGATTTGCCTAAGTCTTTCCAGGTCCCATAATGATGGTGAATATCTAAAGGATATCATTTCTACCAACACAAAATGCCATTGTTTTGGGGAAAAAAAAACTAATTTATAAAATGTGTGACCATTCCCCTTTCTACCCTTGGAAGAATACTGTGTCCAAGTCAAATTTGAAAGACCAGAGACCTGAAGGGACCACAATCAAAAGATGGTGGGAGAGATACGATCATGTACAGGACCGGCATGGTGGACAGGAAGAGGATGAGCAAAAGCATGCCCAGGTAGAAATTATTTGATCTGGAAGCTTTGAAAACCCTGGCTTCAGGAACATTGCAGCACATCACGGCCCAGCACTGGAAGTACATAGATGTGTGGAGTCGAAGGATATTGATGCCCGGAAGGCTGGGAGCAAAGAAGGAACCCATCCTAGAAAGAAAACAGAACACTGCTTAATTTGGAGTCTCCACTCCATAATGAAGTCACACAGCACCTGCTTCTTTAACATTATGCCTCTTTTTATAGGCAAACAATGTACTATCGTATTCATCCACACAAAATCTTCTTATAATAAATCAGACTCATCTATTTCCATCTTCTACACGTAGTTTGCCACTTCCCCCATTATTGTAGGTATTGTATATACAATTCTTTCATAGAAATTATGCTATAAACTGCCTATATCTATTATCATTAATAAATGTAAACTATAAGAGTAAAACATGTATTACAATTCTTTTATTTCTTCTAATTTTAAATAAACTTGATTTCCCCTAATTCATATCATTAATATATACAAAATATAACTTTTTACAATTGTCCCCTAAAATAACTTATGATATTCAGATAAATTGTAGATTTGTAATTAACTACTTTTACATGCACCAGTAATTAACTTTTGCTTAGTGAAAGTGATAAAAATTAAAATGATTATTTTTCCTTTTTCTGATACCATTTTCTCTTTCTAGCTGCTCTGGTGTTTTAGAGTTGATGAGAAGATGTATTTATATTAAATATTATACTATATTTTCTTGATAATTTATATCTTGATTCATGTGTTTTGGAGATGAAAATTCCACACATCCATTTAAATTTAACTTATCTGCTTACTTTCTTACTGCAGCTTGTTCTAGAAATCCATTGCTTTGTGCATCTGACTTTTAAAAAGTATGGTAAAATATCATTTTAAAAAAGAAACTAGTGAAAGTGAGGTTACTTTTACTTGACAGCTTAGTTGATTGTTTCAACAAAAATATCTCCATTTTCTTTGATGAGAATAAAGTAATATGAATAACAATTTATTAGACCAAAATTAAGATATATATGTACTTGTTTTATACATGTAAGTGGAGCTCTATTTTTTAAACTGTCCCAACTATAATAAAGTCTTCAGCATTTCTGGTTATGTTTAACATTTTATACTCCCTGAATGTGTGGAGTAGTTGTTTAACCAATCTAATATAAATCTGGTATATTATAGACATTTCTCCATTAAGTGAAAAAATAGTTTCTGCTATAATTGAACATATGTCAACCCAAAGTTAACTCCTTCCTTGAAAAGTGGCTTCTTGCCACAATCTGGATTATCTTGTTGGTAAGATTCCAGATAACAAATCTCATTGATATTTGTCGTAGCAAATGAACCAAATATGTGGGAAGTTATTTTTTTTCACAGATGGATAGAATTTAAAACAACCCAATGTACCTTTGTTATAAAACATCAAGAGAGAAGTTAAAACAAAACAAAACAAAAAAGATCAAGTTAGTGATAGTCCTAGCGAATGGGTCAGAACTGCAAAGTCCTAGGCTATATCCATACTTGCTGAGAACTGTGATACAATACAGGGTGGAGAATTGTGCTCACCTCATTCTGAAAGTCAGATTTGATCATGTGGCTTGTGCTGACCAACAAAATAAGAATACAAATGAGATGCTCCCTGCCAAGTGAAAACTTTAACAGCCCTATATGGGTTTTGTTCTCTTCTTTCCCTGCTACTGTGACTAGCAATGATCCAGATGGATCTTATTCCATCCATCCATGTCTCTAAGGTGAAGGAGAGGTGTAAGATCAGAGCTATGCCCCAACATACACTGCACAGGTCTTTTTAATAAGATGCTAACATTTGAGGATTGTGTCTCATTTCTGTAAGCCTAACTGAATCTAAAACAAAATTCTGCACAAAATTCAAACCCCAGAGTTTCCTAAAACCACATCTTTGTATCTATGTGCAGTATTTGTCTATATGTATCTATACGTACACACATATACATGTGTATTTACAAACAAATTACAAAATAAGTATTACATAGTCATCATGAGCAAATGACTCAAGAGTCATAACCTAGAAAAACAGGCCCCAGCACGATGATGTCTGAATCTTAATGCTCATCCCATCTTTGTTCATGACTCACTAATCAGCTCAGCTCACTAAGTCCCTTACCCAGACCTGATCCCGTCATCTGTCAGTTAAAAATCATTGTAATATCTTATCCTTATAAAATGCCTTTCTTCCAAGAAGATCAAAGCAAATGAAAGCTTCTTTTATTTAGCTCTCATTATTACTCCAGTGACATGTACGTGTCAGGTAAATTATTCACATCTGATCAACTGAGAAAAGGAGGGGAGTGGGGGAGAGATGGGAGGGAGAGTACCCAATGGGACAGTGTTAAAGAAATTCCCAAAACTCATCATCTCTCTCACTGTTGTTCTTTGCCACTGTCTACCTCCTGCCATGATAAAGATATTGTGAGCTTTCATCATTTAAACATCTTTTTGCAAACACTCACAATCTCTATTTTAAAAAAAGTTTACTGATCATCAGCCAAATTATAACAAAATGGATTTTACCTATAACTCTTGACTTTAATAACATCTATTTAAGCAACCTTCACATTCAGCAACCTCTATAGCAGTAATTGAATGTCACAAACCAATGGAATTGAATACAAACTCCTCACACTTCTTTTATTATTTCTGTTCAAAATGGCTAAACTCAGATGTCACATCCTCAAGGCTCGTGAATTAATGGAAGTACAATGTATGGCGACTCTTGCACAGAGTGAGCCTACCAATCTTACGCTGAGCCCTCCACACCTCCCTGCCACACCACATCCCCACTCCTCACCACCCTCCTGAGAGTAGAGAAGAGTATTTGTGCAAAGTACTGACCTGAAGATGAATAATAGAACAAAAGTTACTTTGCTTCTGGAACTCTGAAAGTGAATATTTTTGTATACTCACAAAACACAATCATTTTCTAAAGTCCTTATCAAGCTAATCATAAGCAAGCTTGACCAATGCCCCAGGAGTGAATATTCAGAAAGCAATAGCACAGTGATAATATAGAAATTTTGATAATGGGTCTGCCCATGAAAGAACTTGAAAAATTTTTTACATTTTTCATAATTTCAATACAAACAATAGCAGACAAAATGGTTGTAAAATTGTAAGTAAAATAAATTAGGGCAGCAATTACAATAGCTTTTCTAGTGATAAAAATGAATTTCTAGGCCAATTTGTTATCTAAACTCTGAAAAAACACAACAGGTATGTGGCATATGTTTGCACCAATGGCACCCACTAGGCCAAAGGGATTTATTACTCTGCATGAAAGCCACTGGTAGGTGGCAGTGGTTTCTCATTACACCTATAGCTGAATTTGTCATTTTCTGCCATGACAGCAAATTCCCTTTCAGGAAGGAAAAGATCAGAACTCATCAGAGCTGTTCCTCTTACTGTGTCTGTCAATCAATATTCCATAGGTCCCCTTGACCTTCCTCCCTGCTTGGAGAATAAAGGATGTCTTCCCCTGTTTAATGACTCTCTGGATATGTGAGCCATACTTGCAAAATTTGGAAAGTGAGGGGACAGGAATTGCATTTTTAAAACATATCTGACAACAGAAAAAGTAATCTCTTAATAGTATTTTTTCATATTGATTCACCTAGGGAGGCACAGGAATTTGACAGACACCATGGCAGGACTCTAGAGCCCATGAGGCCAGTCTTTATGTTACTGAAATGAGATGGTTTTAAGATTTGCAAAGGAGTTTAGTTTCCATCAGCACACGAAGATTTAACAATTTAGGACAGCCACTACGATTGAAGGATTTGAGTAATATATGAAGCTTTTACAAAAAAATGCAACTATCCTGGCACAAGTGATTAGACAATGGTGTGGTTGGGATAACAATATTATAAATCACACATTCACAGGATAAAGTCGCTCAATTGTAACTGCTCTTGGGTTTTTAGTTAAGAGTGACAGATTTCCAAGACACCTGGTCCCTAGATGAATTGCCTGCTGTGATTCAATTTTTAAACTCAAAAACGGTTTCTGCTATATCAACTTATCATAACCTGTCAGAGTTTATAGTGAAAATGCTTCCATTTTATAAAAGATATGACAATCCATTTCATATCAAAACAATTCCAGGGGTTGGGGTTGTAACTCCTTTGGTAGAGTGTTTGCCTAGCATATGAGAGGCACTGGGTTTGATCCTCAGCACCACATTAAAATAAAGGTATTTTGTGTCCAAAAAATATGATAATAATTTAAAAAAGAGAGAGATGATACTCAAAACAATTCCAATGTGCGACTAGCCCTATAAAGCAAGTTAAAAAATGAAGATCATATTTTTAACTTGACCTTACTAAAACATGTGTTTCATCTCTATAAACTATTGGGTTCAATAAGATATTATCTTTTAAAAATAGCCCTAAGATGTATTTTAAATATATTTAGCAGTGAAAAGAAAATTAAATCAGTTTCTCAAAAAGGACTTATGTTCATTTATTTCATATTTAACTGGTGGTGATATGATCATTAATGTTTTTCATTATTAGATCCTGGTGTCAGAGGATATAAAAAGATAATCTTCAAATAAATCTACCAAGCAGAATATAGACTCCGATCATTTGATGAAAGAACACTCTGCAAAATAAGAAAATGCCTAGAGAACAAGACTTAAAATATGGAAAAAAAAATAAACTATCACAGTATCCACTTTTCAAGGGCAAACGGTAAATTAGAAGCCAAGGATCACAGTCTTCTGACTTCAAGCTACAGTGCTTTCTGCAATCTGACCTTGAAGTTTTTCTATAAGTAATTAGCTGTCTAAAAACAGGCCTACCAGATCATGCCTTGGTTGAAGATCAGAGCCAGGACGTTGCCACTGATGTCAAATTCGGTGTAGGAAGGCTAGAGGAGACACAGGTGTTCATGGGATTAGCATTTCAAATGGTGAAAATCAAACAGCAAGGTTTTGCATAGGCACAACTAAGCTCTCAACTACCTTCCTTCAGTGACAACCACAGAACAATCAGTGGAATACATAAAATAATAGCAAAGTAACCTTTTAACACAGTGAGATTGATTTTAAAAGGGTCTCAGCCTTACAAAAGTATGGCCATATGTGCTCTTATACCCTGCTGGTAGAACTCAAAACTGTAGCAAATTTCTAGAAAAATGGTTTTATCACATACATTAAAAGCTTGAAAAATCTGATTTGCTTGGACCCTGTAAGTCTACATCTGTCTTATAAATGCTGATAATTTTAACAAGGAATGATGAAACCATTTAAGTGTCCAACATTGCCTGAGTGAACACCATATGTCTGTACTATGATATTTTGATGCAGTTAATTACAATCATTGTAAACAATATTTATACATGAGTGAAAACTATGCTGGAATGTTAAACAAAAACATATACTATTATATGTTCATTACTTTTAATAAACTCTACATGAAACTGCAAATAGAGAAGAAACTGGAAAGTAATTAGTGAAATATTAGTAGTTTATAGGAGGATGATGGACTATGATTTTTATTTTCTTTTTTCAGTTTCATGTATCTAACAAATTCTTCAACAAAAATTTGAATTAATTTTATAATTTTTTAAAAAATGCAGAAAAGGAATAAGAAGTTCAAGAATTTACTGAACTCAATGTATGGTCTTTATGTCCTATATAATCCTATCTCTCATCGCAGGGCAGCAGCACCAGGAGGTTCACTGTGTCTAGGAATCATTACCAGGACCAAAGTGGGTACCTCCAGGAGGGCAGCATATCCAAAGACTTCTTGGTGACAGATGAGGCATCCCAGCAGGAAAGCTTCTACCAATGCAGTTAGTGCTAATTAAAAACAGCAATGAAACTATCTCCTATTTAATTTGAGATAGAGAATTAGGAGACTAATTGGTAGCAAGAGGGTAGGAGAGCAGTCAATATAAAGTGAGAGGGCCAAAAAGACCTTCAGAGAGGAGCTGTTATAGAGTGAAAGGATTCTAGCAGTGCCCCAGATTCTAAATCTGCAGACGTGCATTAGTCCATACACATCCCCGTGATAACTCCCTCCCTAGCACACGAGCACACTCACATGTGCAAGAGCACACAACCTGAGAGAATATCTGTAATTTTTTCCCAAGAACTCAAGAACATACTGACAAAAAGAGAAAATAGAACTCTGACTTGGGACCCCAACAAAACTACCCTCAAATTTCAAGTGCTCCTAAAGCCAAACCTCAATTTCATCTACTTTCCCCAAAGGCAGTAGCATTTTTCCTGTTCAATTGAAAGATATAAGTTATCTGCCTTGTAACAGATTTAGGAAATAAATAGCCAGTGTGTCATCATAAGAATGGTTAAGTCTCAGGAGGATTGCAAGTTCAAAGCTAGCCTCAGCAAAAGCCAGGCACTAAGCAACTCAGTGAGACCCTGTCTCTAAATAAAATACAAAATGGTGATATGGTCCAGTGGTCAAGTGGCCCTGAGTTCAATCCCTGGTACAAAAAAAAAAAAAAAGGTTAAGTCTCAAAATTAAATGATAATATGATAATAATAGAACAATAAATATTGAAGAGGACAAAGATGACCTGGATAATTTCAGCATAAATTCAATCAAGATACATGTGAAGTATTTAACCTAGTTAGCTTGTTTCCTAGAAGCATAATGTCTGCAGGATGCAAATGATTTGGTTGATGGTTTTTGTTCTAAAATTAACAGTGAGAAGAAAAGTTTCCCTTCAAAAACAAAATGAACTGCTGCTTAACAGGAGAATCAGTCCTTTTGTGGGAGCACTCTGCTCTGGATCATCTACACTCTTCTAGGGTCCTGTGTGACCACACAATACATTTGAAAAATGCTTAATCAAGTGGCCAGTGCCATCTGTGGCCTCGGAACATTTCTCTGTCTCATCTCAAAATTAAATCTTCAACTTTGTCCTCCTTAGAATGGTGTCATGATACAGCCTGCTTATCCATTGAACATGGGAAAACTCAACTTTTTGAGGGGTTGTTTTCTTTCCTCTCACAAACACATAAACCTCTTGAAGGTCATTTCAGATGAAATATTTCGTAACAAGTTGACTAAACTGTATTTAGGACACCCTGGGTATCCCTGGCCTCATATTGTTTGTAGCAGAAACAGCTGGAGGAATAATACCTTGATATCTAAATTGACCTGATAAAGAAAGGATTCAGGGTGGCGCTGTGCTTCAAGTGGTCTTGTGGAACAAGTCTATTACCTGAGTATTAGACTTTGCCCCACTATTTCCTAGCCAAGTGAGCTGGGCCAGTCACTTTAGGCCTTAGTTTCCTTAAAGATAAATTAATAAAATGAACTAGATGGGGGTGTTGGCATGCTGTGGTCCATGAACCTAATCTGGACTGCCGCCTGTTTTTATATATAATTTTTATTGTAACACAGCTATATCCATCCATTCATACGTGGTCTGTGCCCACTTTCAATTGAAACAATAGAGTTGATTGGTTGCAACAGAAACCACATAGCTTTCAAAAGCTAAAACACTTCCTTTTTGATTCTTTGCAGAAAGAAAGTTTACCAACCTCGGAACTATGTAATTTCTAAGATCCCTCTCTCATCTAAAATCTGTTATTGATTAAAAATTACAGTTATTAAAAAATTCCTTCTCTGTGAACATATCAGAATTTAAATTTAATACTTTATGTATTTAACACAGAAAACCCAATTCCAGAAATTAAATATACATTAGAAGGCCAAAAACCCCACATATATACATATAAATTCAATGTTTGAAACATGAAATTATATTTTAAAATATTAAAGCAATACTTCAATAAATATAAATTAATTTGAAATATATTCAATGGCCTCTAAAATAGAAAAAAAATTTAAAGGTAAATGATGCTGAGGATGGTGGAACAAGTTTTCTTGAAACCTGAGATAATAAAATGAGAAAAGCATAATGAACTTCCTGATGGCTATTCATCCCTGCCAAGATTGTTGGAGGCACAGAAGAACTCATTTAGATTTAGGAGAAGGTCCATCGTAGTCAAAGGATTAGGAATGATCTCTTTTTATTTTAGACCTTTGTTTTTGGTGGGATACTCAGCCATCTCCCCAGAGGAAAGAGATATATGGTGTTTATTGAACTAAAAATCCTGGGGAGTTCCATAGTCCCCCTGAAAGTTTAGTTATTTGGAGCAGATTGCCAACCTATGGATATTGTGAAATGTAATTCAAGATCTCAGAGAGGATTAATTCTGTCTTTGCAATGACCTGCTGACCTTTTCCACACAAATCTCAATTTCCAAAGACAGATCATTCTGCTTGGAGCAGCAGGCTGATCTAGGCTGTGGCTCCAGAGCAGCAGTTCTCAAGTGTGATCTCCAGACCAGAGTCAGCAGCATCACTTGGGAACTTGAAAGAAAAATTAATTCTTGGGCCCTGCCTAGAGATACCCAATCAGAAATGTTATATTTTCCTGGTTCATCAGGGACTCTGATGCATGCTTAAATTTGAGAACCGCTAATATAAGACAAATCCTAGCCTCAGCTACTAGGATGATTCAGACTTAGAGTTCTTCACTTCCACCCTAGTTGAGAAGGATCCCGTTAACTGCATGCAGGTGGGTTCTATCCAAGGATTCAAGTGGAACTTCAATAAAAGCCATCTGCCTGTCTCTGCTTCTACGTCCTCAGCTCCTCAAGAGATGTCCATTACTTTTTATTAACTCTTTATCTTGCTATCCTCCTCATATCCTCATTCTCAGCCAGGGAACACCAGTTTCTTATCTAATTCTATATGCCAACCCATCCTGCTATCTCCATTCTACAGCAAGTAACTTATGTAAGCCTAGGAGTACCTTTAATACAAAAAGCCATAGTTTGGTTCATGCTTTTGCAATGTTCTTGAAATTTCTAGGGTTAAGCATGACAGTGAAAACATGGTGGAGATCTAGTTGATGGTTTTGAAGTTGATCAGACTTGGGGTTAAGGCCTAAACCTACCACTGGCCAGGCTATGTATCTTTGACAAATTATTTAACATTCTCTAAGCCTCAGTTTACTGTAAAGTAGGCATAATAGTACCTACCTCATAGCATTGTTGGTATGTTTCCATGGAATAAAATATGTAATGTACTTATAATATTTCTGACACAAGTAATACTATTTAATATGACTGGGAATCCACTTGGATGGTCTGTCAATCATATGTCTCTTCTGCATGAATAAACTTGAGCCTCTTCATCTGCTCTTGAGAAAAATCTCCCATATTTTCTATTTATATAATTTGAGCAAGAATCCCCTTAAGCATTCAACTGTGAAAAAGATTGTAAGTTTATTCAACATGCTATCATCCCATGCCCTGCATTCTATTCTGTTTCTTGAGTATTCTCTATTTACTTTATTGATAAGTTCTGCAATTGTTGTCTGTGAAATTTTAAATTTTATTGAATTGTTAAGAAAAACCTGAGGAGTTTACAAGAGGCCTCATCCTGGACTGAATCAGAGCAGCTGAAATTCCTCCTGAGAACAAATTATTCCACTCCCCAAAAGTCAGCGGACTCTTTAGAAACATTGAGAACTACCATGTGCAGAGAAGCCTTGGGAAAAGTAACTTGCGGTACGTAAGCTAATAATCTACTTCATACAAGTATTTTTCCCATCTCAGTTTATCTTCATAGATTTGCTCTGATAATACTTTGGTCATAAGTTTTGACTGGAAAAGTATATGGGGATCATTTTCAATCCCACCTACTCAGATGGAACAAGGATATAATCCAATATACTTAATATAATGTTTTTGTTGAGAAACATACTTTATTGTCCTTACTTATTCTCTGTCTGCATAAACTTATGAACCTCACTTCAATTCAAATAATCAATTTTTTTCATTTGTAAAATACAAGCATTATGGATTACTATGTCAAAATTCAGTCCAATTTTAGCATTCTATGGGTCTCTGAATCTAATGATGAAGTCTGAGAGTTTAATTTTTACAGAGGTTGTTGCAATAAAAGACAGTAGGTTTTTAAAAAGGCACTTTAGGACCAAAAAATTCAACATAAGGAAATGTACAGGAAATACTTTATGTATACCTCCACGATTTATCTATGAAGATATTTATCTATATCAACATAATTAAATGCTATCATAACAATTAGTATAACAACAAAACAGACACAGTTCAGCTGACAAATTTAAAAACTGATTAAATATAGTAAGCCCATATGTAGATTATCATACAAAAATTTTAAAAAGTATATTATGGGAGCCTGGGATTGTAGCTCAGTGGTAGAATGCACACTTAGCATGAGCAAGGCCATGGGTGCCATCTGCAGCACCAAAAAAAGTGGGGAAGATGTAATAAAAGAGTAGTGAGTCACATGAGAAAATGATTAATGTTGAGTGCCAAAAGGTAGGTAAACAGATTATCTGTTTCTCTGTATACACACATACATATTACATATACAAGTACATATGTGTGCACATTTTTTAAATCTATAATAATATACTTTAAGATATAGTACTTGTTTATCTACATATAAATAATATTAATGTTACTTGATTGAAATAAATCAAATAATATCATTAGTGTTGAGATTATCTTCTATTTTTATTTTTCTACTTAGTTTTATCACGTTTTTCAAATTTTCTACAATGAACTCACATTATTTTTGGAATTCAAGAAGACAAAGAAACAAAATTATATATATTATATATTATATATATATATATATATTGTGATTGAAATGGCTATATTTTTCTATTTATTTCTGAAAGGATTCTTGAGTATCTCCTCTGCCCATCTCAGATTCTCTTTCCCTTCCTGACAGGTACTTTATGAACCATACCATCAACTAGCAGATCTAGGAGAACAGCAGAGAAACATTCTCATCAACCTCTTCTCCAAAACAGCCCTAGCTCAGACATCCGCACTACTCACACTTTCCAGTTCTGGGGCCTTACACTTGTCTCTCTGCTAGGATTGCTTTTCCTCCATCTCTTGAAATTCTAAGCATACTTTGGGACTCCATTTGAATGCTATAATGTCTTTGCATTTCTACTGAAGCACACCTCCTCTTTCCCCCATCTCCTTCCCCCTGGTGGCCCCCATCTCTTTTTGTCTCCCCACTGTCTCCAAAATCGCAGGGCTTAGTATTTACCTTTTTATGCCCTTTATTGATATTGAAAGCTTGCAATGTGAAAGAGCAATGGAGTATTAGGGACAAGAGAATGAATATCTACCCTCTGTGGACAGCAAGCTCTCAACTCTGCCATTTCTCCCTATGGAGAACATGGATTGAATGTTGCCAGGTCTTCCAAAATGTCAAAAAAAAAGCAAGAAGTACAAAGTCTTTAAATATTAGCATGTAAAAAGGCAAAAACAACAGGAACACTGAGCAGATCAAACAAAAACCAATATCTGCTCTTTGAATCTAGCCTGCAGTCCCAAGTTCACAACATCTCTGTAGGCTACATCTCTACACCTCCATGTTCTCTCATCACCTAGCACAGAAGTTGCCCATAAGTTTGCTCCTGGTAGGCAGTAAACAGAGTGAACTCTCCTCTTGTGGGGTCAATGATGATAGGATCCACGTCAAAGATACATCATCCAACATTAATATTTTAAAACTTGTTTTGATTCTGAGCTTTTCTCCAAAGAGCCTTCCAAAGGTAACATGAGAGAAAATTCTTTCTCTGTGACCTAAAACAGAAACTTGTTTCCTGTACTTTGTACTAACCCAAGAGCACTGTCAGCACTTAATAAATAATAAATTATAGTCATTTAATTACAGCTTTTATGCATCCAGGTCATGTTATATTGACTTCATATTTGCAGTCAAATTTTCTGCCACTTAAGAAGAAAACAGCAAGGGATAAAAGGCAAATAAAAGCCAGGCAATGGTTTAGGAAAAGAAATAGCAAATTTTATGTCTGCCTCAGAAGAGCTGAATCAGGAAAGGAAAATAGAAATGAACCAATGCCAGCTAAATACCTCATAGCAAGGGCTGGAAAAGCAACACACCAGCATCCTGGATCCATAGCATTACCTCACTATTGCTCATGGAAGAGCATTACCTAACTACTTTTTAGACCATCTGAGGAGGCACTTCCACTTGCAATGGATGTGATAGCAATGACCTAATGAAAGGCAGTGTCTCAAAGTCAGAGAGCCAGAGGATCTAGCCTGGAGTCTTTGAAAACAGCCTTCAATGTAGGCTTGTCCAGAGATTGGAGGGTATGAGATAGAAGGCAGATCAGCTATAAAGAACTCATTCACTGGTGAGGACAGAAGCATCTCTGGCTCTGGAACCCTAATCCAGAATTGACTCCATGAGCACATCCCTGGGAGGAGGCACATTCTGTCAACAGCTAGGGATGCCTGGGAGGTAGAAGTTCAACAGTCAACCAGTCAGTCACACAAGATGCCTGCTGCAGGATTAGCATGGTTCAAATAACAGAGGTCAAGGGTTGTGTCTCATAGTTTTCTTTCAAAAAGAAGAAGACAGATAATAAGCACATTTTTAAAAGGGGAATGTCAAATAGTTGTACAATTTATGAATAAATGAAAGAGCACATTGTAATACAGAATGCCTAATGGGCCACGTTAGAGTGGATGGTCAGAGAAGAGCTCTGAGGAGGTGAACTATTAGCTGAGTCCTTGGTAATTAAAAGGAACCAACTGTGTGAAGCTATAAAGTAACAGTAAGCCTTGAGAGAGAAACAGCAAGAATAAATGCAAGGACCGTCTTGTGTTTGAGCACAAAAAAGGCAGCTGAAGCCTGTGGACTTTACAAAGCAAGAGCAAAAGTGGTAGCAGATGAGCTCAGAAAGAAAAGCAGCAGGTCATATAGGATACTGAAGGCCCTAGAGAGGGATTTGGAATTCATTCCAAGTGCTTACAAAACCACTGGAGGATTTTAAGCGCATGGGTACTACCAAATCCCCAGGTCATATTTCCCAGCATAAATGAAGATAGTTTCATTTGCAAGAGGGACAGTGGAAACCTGGTGCTATGTTAGCCTACAGAACCATTGTGCTCTGCTGCTTCCCTTAAACTTGTGGGGGACTTAGAGTTGAGCATAGAGGGAAAGTTGGTAATTGAGTCAGCACTAGTGAGTTCAGATAAACCCGAACCATTGTTTCACGAAAAGAAGCTGCCCCTGCAGGATTCCGGCTCCACTTACCAGCACCATGTGCTGGATGAACCCACTCTTCTTAAAACTGCCACAGTCCCCTGTTGGTGACTCTGTCAAACTATTACTAGATCATGAGCTTTATGAAGCAAGCACCAAATGTACTGAGTTCTTTTAGCCCCCAGTTTACAGCATAGTAACTGGCACATAATAATGATCCAGTAGTACAGTGGAATGTAAAAGAATTGATAGAATGTGAAGCTGATAGCCATCATGCCCTGCTTCTGGAAACACACCAGTTTCAAGGAGAGAGGGATGACTATGGGCCAAGATTTCCTGAGTTCAACATTTTGACTGCCAGGTCATGGTCCATTACGTTAGCTATCCTGTGCTGACTTCGTTTCAATATTAGAAACCACATTACTGAGTCTGATCTCTTGTGAGTTATGACAGTGTTCACCAGCGTTTATTTATTGATATCTAAAAAGGTGATCAAACCTATCAAACTGTGAAGTGTATGAAAGAAAAAAGTGTAGAAAATAAAAATCTGAAAAAAATTAATATCTTACTTACATATCCATATTCCAAATCCCAGCACCAGCAGTAATTGCAAAACCTTACAAAACATGCCCTGAGAAAGTCACCGATGAGAATTGTGACATAAGTCGTCAGAACATCAGAAACGGTCAGTCGCACGAATTCCTGTTGGGACATTATTTGTATTAAAATATTCATCTCAATATCAGATAATCTTCATGTTGGCATCAGATCGTCATGTTTCTAGAACATTATTGGTTTGCAGACTGCAATTAATGGTAAAAGAAAAAATAACTTCTAGGCATACCTAGTAAATTAAAAGTGTTTCATCTTTATTTTGATAGTCTAAAAATAATTATTCCTCATCCCCAAATTAATATGTCAAAAGTCTTTTACTAAGATATTTTCATAAGTGTGACACAAGAATAAAAAAACAAAAACAAAAACAGGAGAATATAGACCACAGAGAGATTTAAGACATCTGGCCTTGAAAATATTTCAAATGGGCAAAATTGTAGTGTGTGAATTTTATCTTAACAAAGTGCTTTAAAAAGTATCAAAATTCTCTCATAAGAAAAGAGTTTTCAAAAATTCATAATACCATGGCTGGAGATAGCTCCATGGTAGAGCACTTGCTCTGTATGCACAAAATTCTGGGCTCCTTCCCTAACACTAAAAAAAAAAAAAAGTACCAAACCAGGTATGTGGTACAAACTCATGTGTTGATTAAAAACATCCTCCGCATGTTATGGATGCATCTATAAAGGTATATAATATTATTTAAAAATCTGGGGCCAGGCACAGTGGCGCATGCCTGTAATCCCAGTCGCTTGGGAGGCTGAGACAGGAGAATCACAAGTTCAAGTCCAGCCCCAGCAAAAAGCAAGGCACTAAATAACTCAGTGAGACCCTGTCTCTAAGTAAAATACAAAATAGGGCTGGGTATGTGGCTCAGTGATCGTGTGCCCCTGAGTTCAATTCCTGGTATCTTTCCCCCCAAAAGAAAACTCTGGAAAATTCAAGACTAGTCACTTCAGTGGCATGGGTTTGAATTCAGGTGCAAAGTATATGTGCTGTCAGTTAAGAAAGGAAGGTCACTATTTCCTCATACAAAATCATGTAACAATAAGCAATAAATGTAATAATAGATACACAATTGTAAATATTCATCACCATAGTTTATTTCTGCTGTTCTCTTTCTGTTTCTTTCCAATAATTTGTGACCTAGCACTGAAAATACTGAGTATCTATCATATTTTTGTAAGGATTCTAATCTACTGTGAGAACCTTTTAATTTTTATTTCCAGCTACCTGGTAGTCTCCCTTCTAAAATAACCGGTGAGCTATCTCACAGAGAAAAGGAGTATTTAACCAGTAGCCATTAGGTGAATTTCCAGCCTCATTCTCCAGAGCTGTGCTTCCTAAGCTGCAGGCCGTCACACATAGCTTCATAGCGCTGCATTGTCCGAGTGTCATGTGAAATATTATCATCTACTATCTTGTTTAGCTTTAGTAATACTTCATTTTTCAAAGATGACTACTACTGTTAGAAATACAAGGTATATATTGACTACCATAAATAGAAGATACTATACATAAATGTAATAAAAACAAAAATTAGTGAAAACAATATAAATTTAAACATTTGTTAGCATTAATTCTCACCAAAAATAACATCTGTGACAGGGTGTGTAAACAGAGTTTGTTTGAGAAAATGATCTTTGAAAGGTAAGGATGATACGAGAAAAGAGAGAAAGTATTTCCCCATGGATGTGCTAAAAGCTGTCCCTACTAGGCAAAGTTTTTGTCATTTTGGGAATCCCCCCATCTAACTCTTTGTATTTTTCTTGTGTTGGTCTTCCCTTTGTCATCTCCACTCCTGTCTCACTGCCTTCTTTTGGATCCTCCAAAACTCCACACTTTCTCAGGCCACAAGGTCTTTGCATATGACCTTCACTCTAGTAATCACCTTTAAGATACCTCTTGGCTCAGTTTATGTCAATGACTACACATTAGGGCAGCTCTCTCAAGAAATTCTCAGATTTCATACATTTTATCCCTGTAGTGCTTTGTTGTTGTTATCTATTTGCAGTTTTTGTGTAATTATTTAATTTATGGCCTTGAGCCTCTTTACTCCCAATAGCTTATAATTTTCATAAAGGCAGAGAACTGGTCCATCTTTTGTTTTCCTTTACATCTCTAGTATCTAGCACAATGCCTGGTATTTAACGCCTATTCAAAAAAAATGGGATGAATGAATGAATGAAGAGTGAGTGATAGAAAATTCCTAAAATTATTTTGGGATATTACTTTCCTTTTCCCTGTGATGATTCTCCTTTCATTCCTCAGGCAACTTTGAGTTCAGATCCTAATAACTAGCTTGAATGAAAAGCAGGCTACGAGAGATACTTTCAGTTTGCACTGCCAGGTCAGGAAGACTTGTTCAGGTAAGAACATTTCAGAGTGGTCAAGAAGTCCTCCACATCCTCCTAAGCATCCTCATCCCAGGGGTTGAAATTCTACTCTTTCCCAGGAAATGATGCAACTTTTACATAAAATGCCTAAGGAGGATTCATACCTTATATCATGAATTTTAAGTATCTAATTCACAAAACATAGGAGGAAAACACTGCTCCAGAGAAAAGAAGAATTCCAAAATTGGTGGTCCAGTCCACCCCAAAGACATCATTCAATCCCAGTTCCTAGCATGCTAACCCAATGGGACACCTGGCCTCCACACAAGCCTGGTATTGAGCACCACGCTTCCCACAGAACAACTTCACACCTGTGACATTGAGTTGTTCAGGCACCTTTGACCAATTAATCTAAGGGAATCATTAATAGGAAAAGCCAAAATAACAGGCAAGGATGTCACAGAGGACCACAAATCGCAGAGGTTCCAAGCAGGGAACATCTGTCCTGATGCTGATTGTTTCTGGAGAATGAGTCCACACTGTGAACAAGGACCCTGACTATGTAGGTTAAATTTGGCTCCTGGCATTGACTTCCTAGAAGGTTTTGACAAGTTAACTTTCTCAGTTACAGTCTCCTCATCTACAAAATGAGAATGATAATACAACATGTCTCATAGGGTAATTCAAAAATTACCACATTAGATGTATCTAATAAATGTTAGCCATTGTCATCATTATTTCTAGCTCTTGACTTCTTTCCTTCTCCAAAATGCAGACTTCAGTAAATGTTTTCCAACAGATGTCCCCCCCAAAGGCTCCGCTGTCTCTCTATTGAGTGCCATTGGAGATGAGACTAAATGACAACTTGGGAATCACTGCAGACAAATTACCTGTATTTAGAACTAAGAGATCTCTGAATTCCACAGCACCCTTCAGGAGAAACAAAACAGAATGCCTTCATGAAGGAGAAAAGGAACTTGCGGAATCTCCTCACAGAACTATCGATGACCCTGTGGGGTACATCATTGCCATTATGTACCCGCTTTTCCACGTTTTTCATTATTCAGTTGACTAAGCAATAGCAATGTCTCCAGATACAACAGTACAGATAGATATTGATCTCATAAAGGCCAAACACACCAGCCCTCAGTCGTTATGACCAGTGTGTTCCCTTCCTTCCTGTGGATTCCACCTAACACATCAGCATTTCTGTTCAGAGCTGGCCCTGCTGGCTCTGCAGACTTTCCTTCATGTGCTTAATGCTCCTTTGGAGAATGGAGGGCAAAAGAGAAAGAGGAAATCCAACTATACAAATGGCAGTAAGGAAAGATGTAAAGCAAGAAAAATCACTAGACACAAACTTTTATAGGACAAGACAAGCACCATGGTCCAGGGGCCTCCAAGAAGAAGAACTGAATTGATGGCTTTGCCTTTATTTTAAGTCATTATGTGTGAGACTATTTCAGAAATTTTTTCATCAGAAACATAAACATCTCCTAAAGCAATATCCATTTTCTTTCTCCAGAAGTGGCCATTCCAGATCTTATTCTTTATAGTTAATTTTATAAATCTTGTTCACTAGGTGCTTGCCTGGTTGGAGGGTAGGTTTCTTAGCTCTTGTGCCAGCCTGCATTCTAGGATGTATAGAAGGGAACATCTCAAAATCTGAGTTAGTGAAATCTGTACTTCTTAGTTTTTTCATTTCTTGAAACTTGTACTGAAGATTCAGAGGTCAGCTTAGATGTAATAAAACAGACTTGTGTTAGGCATCATGACCATATTTCATGACAAAAAGCCTTGAAATATGAAAGCCCATGTACCCATGAGCATTCATTTCCAATGACTGCTATAACAAATTGCCACAAACTTGGTGACTTGAAATGGTACAGATTTATTTTCACACAGTTCTAGAAGTCAGAAATCTAAAAGTGCAGATATGGGGGAGAATCTGCTTCCTTGTCCTTTCTAACTCCTAGAGACTGTCCCCATTCCTTGGCCCATGGTTCCTTTCTCTAACTGTGAAGCACATTACTCAACCTCTGTTGCCATATCTCAATTTTCTGACTTTGACCTTTTTGTCTTTGAATTATAAAGACTCTAATGATTTTTACTAGGTTCACTCATCATTCAGAATATTTCTTCCAACCCAATATCCTTAACGTAATCACATCTGTGAAGTCCATCTTGCCACATAAGGCAACAGCACATTCACAGGTTGCAGGGACTAGGATAGGGACAACTTTGGAAGTTATTTATTCTGTCTACCACTCACTGGATCACAAGTATCTCTCTTCTAAATGCTGCCAACTTTTGTTCAATGTTATTTTATTTATCATTTCATATATAATATGTTTTTTAAACATGTGTGAAATGTTCATGGCTGAACACCAAAAATCTAATAACTAAGAAGGCAGGAATTTATCTTATCCCTGAAACCTTCAAAAGTAAAGTAAAATAAAAATCTTTCCTCAAACCATAATGTGTACTCAATTTTTAATCATATATGTCTAGCATTATACACAGTGATTTTATTTTTTTCCACAATTGAAATCATAGTTGATTAGCTTAAATCCAATGAGCATCATATTGAGGCTGAAGATATCTATTTGTTTAAATTATTTTAGTTTAATAAGATAAATACTAATTCCCCAATTTTCCTTTTATCTTATAAAAAGTAAGTACACTATGAAAATTATTCAGATAATTTCACAAAAAAATATATTACTACTGACCTTGAACTATCATCTGAAGGACATACAGTAATATATTTAAGTTCTTCTCTTCTCAGCGATAAACTGAAGTCCCAAATTAGTTTATGAAATTCACATTAGGGATGTCAATTATAAGAAGATAAAATTATAGGTTTTTAAAATATAAATTAGATCTGTACAGAAATAAGAGACTCTAAAGTAGATATTCTTAAAAGTTTGTAAAAGATTTTGTTTGGTCTGATGTGGTTTGGTTTTCCTTATTGCACAGAAGTCATGTGATATATCAGTTCTTTTCTCTGATAAATGACACTGACCTTGGACTGGGGTCATTTATGTAATCATCATGAAAACAAATAGTGTTTCCTTTAAGGCTTATGGAAAAGGTATATATTAAAAATTGAAGTTACTAAAATTTATATATGATCCCCAAAGAACCGACTTTTGCTTTTTTCTTATTTATATGGCAAACAAGTAATACTAAATAGAACTTTATTTAAATACTGATTAGAGCCCATATCTAAAACTTGGTGCTTTATTAGAATGTCAGTAAATAGTAAACTTCTTATATCATTTTAAACTCTCCTTCCTTTCTATGCAACTGCAAAAGGGGCAAACAAGAACTTATCTCAAGGGATAGATGTGAGGGCTACATGAGATAATACACATGAAGTTCAGAGCCAGCACGTGAAAAAAGTGCAAGTGATCAGCTATTTTTATTAATAAGCAATGAAAAATAGACTAAACTTATGGAAGAAATATTGACTGTCCTCTTTTTTCAATTGACTGATTGCACGTACTTCTGTTCGTGGGATTACCTGTCCCACCATGGTTTCCCAGCACGGACCTCGAGGTACATCTGCAGGATGAACAAAAAATGGTAGCCCAGTGGTATTCTCAGAGAGGGATGCATTGTAGGCCTTGATCATGTTGGCTTCCCACAGGGTGATGTTGGCCTTCACAAGCTTCTCCTCTTCAATCTAGAGAGCAAAGAGATGGAAACAAACAAACAAACAAAAAACAAGACAGCACCATTTCCAAAGGCATGTCAGGCATTCCTGAGGCTGGGAAATCAAAATGCTGGTGTAAAGGACAATCCAAACACAAGGCTTACCTTGTTGTTAATCTCATCCATTAAGGCAAGAATAAATACATACAGGTTGCCTAAAAGGAGAGCAAAAATGCGTCCCAGCAGCCATTTCAGAGCGATGAGAGGATGGTAGTCTTCCAATTCAGCAAATAAGTCAAACAGTGTTGGACAGAACATCCCCAGGAGGGACATAACCATATTCATCTGCATGGAGACGTGAGGAATGGACCAGGTTAATGGTACTTAATAATCGTTGGTGCTTTCCTCCAGAATTCTGAAAGCTTTTCAGCTCAGTTCCTTGCATCTTTGATAAGACTAAAGAAGATTTCTTCATGTATATCTAGAATTTGATCTCAATAACAAACAAACAAAATTCAACTTACATTCACAAGATGTACATGTGTGTCAGAGTGGGTGTACCAGTAGTGATGATCTTTCTCCTGGTATGAGGAGGCATGCAATTTACATCACTCTCTACCCAGAGAACACATACTGCTTCTCATGGTAACTGATTCTGCTATAGAGATGTACTTCACTATAAGATTTCCAAAGGAAATGGAAAATGATTTGCTTAAGGATGAGACCCAAACTGAGAATATTAACTTGGAAATCATCAGCATTCCTGAACTAATTAGTAAGAATAGATGAATTCCCCAAGATTGGTTAGGACTACATATTAAATTTTGGGAATGCAAACTTTTAGAACACCCGGCATAATTTTATGGAAGCCAAGGCAAGAAAGTTCCAAAAATTAATGACTGACTTACAAAGCCATAACCAAGAGAAGATGCAAGAGGGCATGGGAGAAGGAGGATGGGAAGTGAAAGAAAGAGGGAGAGAGACAGGGAGGAGGAGGAGATGGAGGAGAGGAAAGGCATAGAGTGAAAGAGACAGAAAGAGAAAAAAGAGAAATATAAAAAATAGAAAATGTGCCATTCAGAGCATCTCCCTCTTACTGTTTGACACTCTAATGATTACATTAATAGGCTACATTAAGTCAAAGAAAAGAATTTCAAATATGTACTACTTTCATAATGAGGAAACGCTCATGCTTATCTTTCTGAAATACCTGGCTTATTGTCACCACAAAACATTTCCTCTTTTCCCCTGTGGACTCCATGCTTTAAATGATAATAACTACCAAACTATATTTAGAAAATAATTATTAATATGTCTTTGTTGCTTTAAGAATGTCTCATAAGTATGATAAAGAAGACACAAAACTCAGCAAGACATAATATAAAATCAGCATGATATAATTTCAGTCTAACATAAACATTTAACAGATCCTGTGCAGTCATAAAGTCAAATTTAAATTTTGTCTCATTAGATTTGTAAAGTTATTCATGAATCCCCATTACTCCTTTCATTGGCCTCTAGGACTCAGGGGTTCCCTAAAATGTTTTGGACGTCAATGTCAAACACCATTTTTTGTTTGTTTTTTGTTTTTTTGGTGCTAGGGATTGAACCCAGAGGTATTTTACCACTGAGCTATATCCCAAGCCTTTTGTTATTTTTTATTTTGAGATAGGGTCTCACTAAGTTGCTTAGGACCTCACTTAGTTGCTGAGGATGGCCTCAAACTTGTGATCCTCCTGCCTCAGCCTCCCAAGTCCCTAGGATTATAGGTATGTGCCGACATACCTGGCTCAAGCATCTTCTTACAAGAGTGATCATTTTAATGATAATCAACCACTCCTTCTTTAGTATAGTTTGTTTCTATAGAATATATGATAAATATGAACCATAAACCAAAGCTGCATGATAATTTTGCTTATATTTACTGTTACAATTATAAGAGAATATTGAAAGCAAACTTACTAAATAAGCTTGGAAGTGTTCCTTTGTTTTAAGTTTAAAAAAAAAATCTCTACCTAATGACTTCTATTTTCCATGAAATAAATTTGGATCCTTTTTTTATTAGACTGTTTCATTTGCTATCCAAGATTTTTATAGGAAATGAATCCCTTTTAAAGATACATATATATATATTTTGGTCTGCAAAGTTCTGCAGAAGTTTCAGTGTGGAAAGTCTACACTTCTCTCAATCTAAATCTGCACATACTTTAAAAATCCCCAAGTTCAAATTGATGTCACATTGAATACAAGGACATTTTATGGAGGAAACAGGCCCCAGCAACAACTCATGACCAGTGATTTCCTGATTTTAAATATTTACCTCTATCCTCCTTTCTCTACCATTGAGTGGACAGATACTCTGAAGGCAAACTTGGCAAAAAGCCCAGGCTTTCTCATTTGAGTAGCAGCAGAAGAAAGGCTTCTAGAAGAAAGATGGACAATTGAGCTTCCTGAAAAACTGGGAAGCCCAAACTTGCTCAAAGACAGGGAGGAATTCTGAATGCTTTCAATGAGATAAATGTAAGAACAAGGGCTTTATCATAGCTGTTTCAAAAATTCAGGAAACTGGATCTTTCAGTGGCAGAAGGGGGATCTTTGAAGAAAGCAACATGGGGTCATGCAAAGAGCATTAAACTTGAAAGAAAGACTCCTGGGTGCTTAGCCTGACTCTTCTCCTAACTTGATGACCATAAAGCCATCACCCTGAGATTTCTCATTCCATCTGTAAAATCTAGTGGTTGAACTCTATGCTTTCTAATCTTTTCTTTTTCTAATTTTTCACCACATCACAAAACGAAAAATAGCACAAATTTGAAAGTATAACTGGGATAGTGTGGGAAATGTGCAATCAGGTTGACTCACTACAAAGGTAAGATGCAGGGACAGGTGAAGAGTGGCCTTATATAATGTTCCCCCACAGAAACAAAGCCTGCAAAATAGCAATTATCAGGTGGTAAGCACATAAAAAACATGCAGAGACGAACTTCATTTTTTTCCCACCACCCAAGGGTGTCAGGATCTTGCTGTGCAAATTCCTGGGATCTCTTCACAGCCCAAAAGATGAGGTATCCGCTTGCACCAAGTGTTAGGAACACGAAGAAGTTAGCAAGAAACCTCAGGAATCTGATCAAGTGGACATTTTCTTCTACTTGGGCTGCTCTTTCTTCTGTTATAGCTTCCTGTACCCAAGCAAAACAAACCAGGAAACAAACAAAAATCTTAGCTATGAAAAGCTTTATGAACCCAGGAATGTAAAAAATAAAAATGTAAACTAAATCTGGAATTCCACAAACCCAGGTCAAACGATTGGAAAACGAAAGGAAGAAGGGAAACCTCTTGCCAACAAACTCTAAAATACTAGGATAGCCTTCATGATTAAAGATTCTTCCAGTACAATTTTTTAAAGTTATAAAATAATGCTTTAGAGTCATATTGAATATTAAGCTAACTCATGCCTGTAAATATTTAGTGAGCATTGTTCCATTATTTAGACTATCTGAATCTGATTATTGATCTTTTTCATCCAGGTAGCAATTCTTTTATCACTAAATTTAAAGAAGGAAACTCCTCCAGGGATAATAATGTTGTCACGGGTCCTAAAATACCTCCCGGTTCTACTGCAAACCACATCCACATCCAGTGGGCAGAAACGATGAGTTTATCTTCCTTCTAACCATGGAGATGCTTCACTAGCTAGACTGCCTGGAATGCCTCCAATGCTATGCTTATTTCCCCGCCCCCCCTACTTTTTATCTATTTCAACGCTACTTTTAGAAATAGATAAAAACATGCTTCAGGAGTTCATGTCTTTACCCTAAAGTTCATTGTGATGGAATTAAATTTGTTGTCGGCTGTTTCAGGGTTGCCAATCAGGTAGTCCCAGCTGCAGAACATCTTCCAGCTGAAGTTGAAAGTGTTGTCATCGCCCCCTCCATCGTCACCAATATTTTTGGTCATCCTGTCAAAACAGGGAGTTTAACCCAGCAGCAGAATAGAAGAAGAAAGGGGGAGGGGAGGGGAGGGCGTGACAAAGAGACACAGTCACAGTTCAGTCAGAGAGGCAATACCTAAAAGGGCATGTTTTTCAGCAGGTTTGTTCTAACAAACCAGAAAATAGAAGCTTTATTTTTTAAAGTTTGTTTGCTGAACTTTTTAAACTATTAATTTTATAGACCTTCTAGATTAAAAGTTCACTACACATTGATGATGTTAACAACTAAACAGGTACACAAAGACAAATATTTTCTATTTTTTTAAATGACACATTAACATCGTGGAATTGTTTCTTAACATTTTGTGGGATAAGGATCCTTTTAAGAATCTAATGAGAACCACTGAGTATGCCCCCACACACAGAAAAAAAAATATGTGTAGACTTCCATGTTTTTCCACACCTAATTGGTTCCCAGGCCCTCTGAAGCCAGTGGATGAATTAACCCAGGTCAAGAAACTCTTAGGTAAATTTTAATTCTCCCTAGAGTCTCCTCCCCAAAAGGGATTATACTCAGTGCATTAAAAATTCTATCCACTCTACAACTGCTGTCCAAAAATCAAGTTTTTTGTATGCTCTAATCCCAAATGGTACATATATTCTAATCAGTGATGTTTTAAAGTTTCGTTGTTGTCATTTTGTTTGGAGAATCTAAAATGCATTTACTATAAGTTTATTGCAATGTTTGAAGATCTATAGGTCACTCTTCCACACACTCCACTTCCTTCTTTTTCTTATCACTATAAACAGCAAAATTAAAATTTTATGTGAACTACTAAAAAGCGGTCCCTCGATGTTTGGGTTTTCTAAATTTAGTGATATGGAACCAAAAGGAGCCTAATGATATCATGCTGACATTGTTGGTTGACAGGCATTTCTAAGGAAATCTAGATTGCCCCACCTCTTTAGGGAGGCTTATAAATTTTATACAGACTAACATGTTACGCAAAGTCAAAATATAATTATTCCTTTCACCAGTCCACCACTACACACTTTGCAAATTTTAATGACACATATTTTTCATAGTTATTCTCCTCAAAGTCTCAGTAGGAAGTCAAAATCTTTACTGTCAGAATTATTCTCTTTCTTATAGATGAGGAGGCTGAGGTTCAACACCTTGGTCAAATGATCCAGTAGTAAAACCAGAGAGATAGGCCAAGAGGTCTGGTTGGACTTTACTCCAGTGTCAAACCCAGGACATCATGAGGAATGAAGAACCATATGTAAAATGCCTTTTTTTTGTAGTTAAAATGAGGTTGGAATGGGATAGTTCTTATGATGTAACCTGGAACCTAAGGGGAAAATTATTTACTTGATTAATATTGCACCATTTATATTCCACACTGTCATTAATCAATGGGCAGGTTCTCTAGGCAAAATTCCACTCAACAGGTAAAGGCTGAATAGTGCTTTATCACTGCAAAGGCTAATAGCTTAAGATGACCTTCAGGCAAGGGGACCCTAGTGGGGTGGGCAAACAGGGAGCATATGACATGAGGAAATGATGAGAAAAAGAACACTAAAAGGGATAAGGGGTGGGGGAGACACCAAAGACTAACTCTCCCCAGTAACCATTTTAATGAGATATGGTCCTGATAGCTATAAAACTCTCCATGCACGGTTCTTGTCTATAGATGAAAAATGCACATAATTATGAAAATTCCTTCATTTTCAAAGAGGCTGTAGTTTTGAACTTTTTTTTTTTTAATCCATGAAGAACAATCTCAATGCATCATTTTCTTTTGTAGAGGACCTAGAGAAGGCAATTGCTGTGTTTATCTGTTGCCTAACGTTTTTAAACTGGATTTTTTGCCTTGGGCCACAAGTCTGCAGCTCCATTTATACACAGGATCATTTGGTTATTTTATGGTACATGGGGAGGTTTTTAATCAAACACGTGCCTCCATAAATCCTAAGCCAGCTAGGTCAACTATCATGTAGTCTCTGCTAAAATCAAAGCAGGGGAAAGCGGGAGGGTTGAGATGGAGGGAGGAAACAACTTTAGAAGTTCACAGGATGAGATCACTACACACACACACTCAAAAGAAAGTTATTCCAAGGTTGATATGAAAGAGCGTGTATTACATTCTTCAGAAAGAAGAAACCAAGGCAAGTATTTGACTGTGAAAGATAATACAAAAATACAAATGGATATATATTGACCATACTACTGATTACTGTTTTGTTTGCCATCTGTTTCCCCAATCAAACACCATAAAAGCAAGAACTTTAAATCCCCATATGCTAAATAGCTCCCTTAGACTGCCCTTAGTATATACTCCATAATTAGTTATTAAAGGAATGAATAAAAATATTCGAATTGTCATTTTGGAAGTTAACATCACTGGAAAGAGTCTCACTAAATAAATGCATATAGCATAAGTACTTGTACATGGTACTATACACACCATATATGCTTGTCAGGCTATTATTGTCGTGTCATCTTGTCATCATGCTCAGTTTGGTCCATATCATCTTATTTCAAAAACTGTTTCCATTCATTGGACACTATGGTCCCTAGTCCATGTTTATAGAAGGAGAATTTTTCATTTTGCATTTCATAATCATAGATGCAGTTCACAAAGCAGTAATGAGACATGGAACATGGTGACTGTGAGTCTTTCATACCTCCATGCCTTTCTGCTCTAAGCATTTTTGAAAGAAGGCCAGTGTCATTTGAGGAAGAGGAGACAATCATGAATTGTGGGATCTGCCAGGACATTGTGCCCTGTAAGCCAGCCCCATTTATCCGTCCAAAGCCTACTATGTTCTAAAATTTGTCATTTGAGATATCAATCATTAGAATTTGCAAAGAAAATATTCTGAGAAATAAAATATTATGCTGGGGTCTATAAAGGCTCTGATGGCTTTTCTCTAATTAGACAAGAGAGGGAGATTCCTTCAATAAAGAGAGGCTTAATTGACAATGAGGATGGAGGGGAGGAAGAAAAAACACATTTGATATTAAGACTCCATATAAAGATGTCAAGAGTCATGCAAAAAGTTTGGGCAGGGTACCAGGCAGGTCACTACTATCTGAATAAGCATGTACAAAAGAAGTGAAAACAAAGTGGGTGAAGCAATAGAAATCCAGGTGGAAGGGTGTCCTGTTGGCCATGATTCTAATGTGATCTTGGGAGATGTGGGTGTCATATAAGAAGAAGACCTGGTTTTGATAGGTTTAATAATTGCCTTGGTTTTTATAAAATATGGAGGCACGTGAGTCATATTAAGGCCATATAACTCCAAAGGAATTTGATAGTAGACAAGGAAAAAGTTTGTATAGACTTTTAAAATCGAAAAGGACCACCCAAGTCAAGTTACAAACAGGTCCTTGTTGTCGTCAACATAGAAGAATCCTCATTAAAAACCAGAGAAAATAAGACTGGAATTAGAGAAGGGTATTCAAAGCTCAGTTCTGTAAAGTACTGGCTATCTCAGTCAAATCATCAACATATGCTGAACCTTACTTTCTCCTTAATATAGGAATAACTAACTAATATTTACTCAACTCACTATTCAAGTTTGATAGGAGGAATAATTTGATCTATATAAGAAGCAGCAAATACAGAAAGTGGCAAGTTGTAGTGGGTAAAAGATATGTTTTGAATTAGAAAAATCTAGGTTCAAATAGGTCCTAAGGTTGAATGACCTTGGGTATGCCATTTAGTAGTATCTCTGAGTTTTATTTCATTTTATTTCTGTGAAATGTTATAATAGCACCTTTGTAATATTTAAGGGTCAAAAGCAATATTGATACATTAAGCATTCTTATTTCGCATATAAATTATATTGTTATAGATTCAGAAATATGGGTGAATATATTGCCATTTGCCAAATTTAAAAATTTCATACACACATGTTGGATCCAGTTTATATCTAGGATTATTATTTATCTAAGATACTCTGCAGGAACAAATTTGAACATCATGTGGAGGTTATACATGACACATGATTAAAGTATTTGAGGATATTGTGAGTCTATTCTATGCATATTAATATTTCCAGGCTGTTTTCAAACATAGGGAAAAATATATATCTAACCCCAGGAAACCCTGCAATAGGGAAAGTCCTAGAAAAACCTATGGGGATAAGATAGGCAGCAAAGTGTTTCTCATTAAGACATGCAGTTTCTGAATCATTCAGCTGTTTCTAGTAGTTTATGCTACTGTAAAATACAACAAGAAAGCCCAGAAATTTTAGCTTATAGCATCACTTTTAATGGGAACAATTAGGTTTTTGCAACCAAACCACCTTCGCTCTAAGATATTAAACTTCAAACTGATGAGGACAATGTATGAAGGACAACGTATGAAGACTTCTAAACTTCTAATGTGGTTAGGAACATACACAGAATTGAAAAGAAGGAGGAAGGAAAAGCAGGAGGTGGGAACAGAAGGGAGGGAGGGAGGAAAGAAGAGAGAGAAGGAAGAGGCTTAAAACTAAGGGGATCAACATTCCATCCTCTGGGACTGAGGAGATTAACAGAATCCAAGGCTTTCAGTGCTAAAACTGGAAGAGTGCCAGACCAACAAATTCAATCACCTTATCTTAAAATCTCAAACTATTTTCTTGGACTTCTTTCTCACTTTACCTTCCAATTTCCCTATTAGATAATTAAAAGTATAGGGCTGGGGTTGTGGCTCACTGGTAGAGTGCTCGCCTAGCACATTCGAGGCCCTGGATTCGATCCTCAGCACCACATAAAAATAAATAAGAGTATTTTTTAAAAGATAATTAAAAGTAGATATTTGCCCCATTTTGCAGATGAAGATGCTGAGATTAACAGCATGCAAGATGACAAAGCCCCACGGTATCCAGCTGATTTTAGAACTCAGATTCCCTTCTATTCAATTTCAGTAATCTATCTCTTAAATCCACTTGTATTCCTTCCAAGAGTGTATTTGATTGAGGTACAATGTAGAGACAGAAAGAGAGGATAAAAGGGTTCTATACAATCATTTATATCTCATCCATTTTTTTTTCTACCCAGTATTGTTCCTGGAGCTGGGCTGGGAGTCACATATTGATTTTTGAATTATCTTCCTGTGTAGTCGAATGACTGGCAGAGTCTCTTATCAATCAAGGAACAAAAAACAAAAGATACATGCCAGAGGGAGGAGCTAAAGCCAGGCTGGTTTGGGAGCATAACATGCATAACATTGAAGGGAAAAATGTGGAGTTGGTACCTACCAGCTATCCTAACTGGGACCTTTAAATAAATTTGAAAAATTTTCACCTCCTCTAGAGTTACTTTATCCAATTTGGTCACCAACAGCAACTTGTGGTACTGAGCACTCAAAATGTGACTAGTGCAATGCATAACAGATACATTTCAGATTTAGTAACCAAAAACATAGAATGTCTCAAAAATAATTGATAATAATTTTATGTTGAAATGATGATATTTTTAATATATCAGGTTAAATAAATTATATTATTAAAAATTTAAATTAATTTTACCTTATTTTTTAATATGGCTACTAGAAGTTTTTAAATCATACACCTGACTTGCCTTGTACAATGCTGCTCTGGAGACTTTAAATTTACCTACAAAAAATTGTTATATTAGACATAAAAATCTATTAATGTTCAAGTGTATGAATGTATTGACTACCCAGTTTTGCGGGGGCTATCATGTGGCATCCTACCATTCAGATTTTGGTTCTTCAGTAAACCTATGAATTCTAATAAAATGGTTAACATTTGTTGTACACTTTTCACATTCTGGCATGTCTATTAACTTATTTCATTCTCATGTATATTAAACCTCAATCAGAGATGGAAAACAAGAGAACAAAGTGATTGAGAAATTTGATGATGATCTTATAAACACATATATGGTAGAGCTTGGATTTGAACCTAGGCAGAGTGACCTGAGAGCCCAATTGGGCACACACCCACTGAAAGAAGCTAAGCAATGAAATGTGCAAAGACAGTCTTCCCCAGTGACCGTGGAGACCAAAGAACCAACATGTAAATGATACTCATGAGAACTCAATAAAGGAAATGGTACCTCTGACTTTTTAGTCCAAAAAAACAAGATCATCAGAGGAGCAGAAAATGTCTGAGATTTTTGAAATGTGCTAGTGTTATATCAGTTGATCAACTATTTTATATTTGGGATCTCTGATTATACTTGGACAACTTGATAAATATCTTAGATATAGACTTTTTTCAAGTCCTAAAGGAGCTTGAAAAAACTGAATATAATGTTTTGTTTTGTTTTGTTTTTCAGAAGAACCTGTAAGCAAGGCAGGGAAAGGACAAAAAGCCTGTCATAAGCTGCTCCAGAAAGCACTGCTTAAGATTACTGTGTACTTTATCCCCCTTGGATCCTCTAGCATTCATCATATTCCTAGGTGAATGAGGCAAAATGTCCATTCACTTTGCTTATAGTCAAATAATGAAGTTTGCTTGAGATGTTTCAAATCTTCTCAAGCAAGTTCAGAAAATTAGCTAAAGATTGGATTTTTTTTTCATAGCCACAAGTAACTGTGCAAAATTTATGCAGTATCCTTAAGTGGTATATTATAAATTTATTTCAGACAGGAGGAAAAAAAATGAACTGCAGTTTTATTGGTTCCCCAATGAAATTTTTTCCCATGCTCTAATAAATCCTTTTCTCAGACAAAACATGATTATACAGTTGATCATGATGGTCTCGTTGGGGGTTATTCATATTTTCTGTCTTACAGAGCTAAAGTTTTTGGATGAGTGATTATTCTGGCTTTTAAAAATGAACAGAGAACAACAGATTCTGGCTATTGAGCTGATTCTCTGCAAGTTGCAAGCCTTTTTGCATGAAAAAAAAAAAAAGGTCAGCAGCTCTTTTCCTGTCTTGGCAACATTGATTCCCACCTTGCAGTTCAAAAAGGCCCAGTTTAAAAATGTACTTAAACACAAGATAGGTAGGCACTCATAAGTCTGACCCAGTGGGATGGGCAAAGGTTTATGTTTATGTTCAGTCCTTTTGTTTTGAGGATACAATAATCTAACATCACTATTGGTATTAAAACTAGATTTCATCTCTTACAGATCCTGCATCCTCTAGACATGAAATGGCAACAAATCATATCTCATTTTCATATTCATTCCCCATTTGATTCCAGAAATCATTATTCAATGACAAATGCAACTTACGCCCTGAGGACAACCAGAAAGCTGTATCCGATGCACATAATCCCCACCAGAAAATAGGAGAGCGGCAACCTGAAATTCATCCATCCAATCGTTCGTTTATTGTCGTAATAGCCATAAAAGAGGACGGAATATTGTGCCAAACCCTAAAATCCAATAACAAAGCCTCTTAGATTCTGTGAAGAGCAACTCAAAGGAAAAGATAGGCTCCTAAGAGGAATAACAAAATGACATTAATTTTCAAAGTTGAGTCATGGTTCTGACATAAGCCCTGTTGTTTTGTTCCATGGAGTGAACATTTCAGCTGCCACAATAATTGGCAGATTCTTGTTTTCTTGAAATTTCATGACTTCTAAATAGACTAAATTGTTAACCAAATATAGGCTTGCTCAACTGTGGAGCCATTACTGTGAAATGTCCATTGACTTAAACATCAAAACAGACTTCATGGTATCATTAGATTTACAATTTCAAGAGCTTGCTTAATATGTGGTAGTAGGAGCCGGGTGTTCTGAAATGTGCTTCCTCAAAATGCTCTGGCAGGTTTTCATTTCCAGTCACCTGAGCCATAATTAGATTGATTCTCCTTAATCACAGCAGCTCTATCTCAGCTCCCACTTAGCAAATATGAGGGGCAGGTGAGACAGCATTGGAACCTTCTGCACTGTCTTGGATTCATCAAAACTGTTACGGCATTCCCTCATAGCAAGCATGCTCATTTGTCATATGTTCTCTTTTCTAAAATGTATGTGTCGGGGTTGGAATCACCCCCTCCCCAAAATACCCAAAAAGCACCCAAATACCCTCTCTATATGTAGAACATTGGCATATTCTGATGCTGCTTCCTTTATATCTATCTTTCTCACATTTACTGTGCTTTTCCCATCACTGAAGCATTTTTCCACATTATCATATGTCCATTCCCCAGCTCCTCTCCAACTTCTTTCTGACAATCACTTAAAATCACTACACTTTGTGAAAGAAGAAGATGATTACTTGCCAATTGGGAAAACTTCTTGAGATCAGGTGAGTTGCCTTTGAACCTTACAGAATTGAATTTGTTGCCTTTAACATCGTTATACCAACAGCATTCATACCAACCTAGCAGTGAGACTTTGAAACCCACTGTGAAGAAAGCAGAAGTGGGGAAGAAGGGAGACATGGAGGAGGAAGAGGAGGAAATGCCTCCGATGCTGATTTCTAGAGGAAGAATTAAGAATTTAGAAAGTTGCCATAAATAAAGTTTATATAGAGCTCAAGTCAGAGGAGGGATCTGGGGAAAAACGGAAAAGAAACAACAATTTTCTTTTTTTTTAATTTTTTGATTTGTTATACATGACAGTAGAATGCACTTATATACTTTGATATATCATACGTAGATGGGATATAATTTCTGATTCTTCTGAGTATACATATTGTAGAATCACATTGGTCATACAGTCACCTACATACATACAGTAATAATGTCTGTTTCATTCTACTGTCTTTCTTATGCCCACATCCACTGCCTTCCCCTCCTTTCACTTCCCTCTACCTAATCTAAGGTAACGCTATTTTTTTTTTGCATTACAATTTTTAAAACACATATATACCACAATTTTTGTATCTCTGTTTATATATAAAGTATGCTGACACCCAATTCAAGTCTTCTTACATGTACTATGTATAATGATGTCCATCACATTCCACCATCCTTGCAAATACCCGGCGCCCTTCATTTCCTTCCTACCCCTCTTCCCTATCTAGAGTTCATCTATTCCTCCCATGCTCTCCCTCCCAATCCTACTATGAGTCAACCTCCTTATATTAGAGAAAATATTCGGTATTTGTTTTTTTGGGGATTGGCTGACTTCACTTAGCATTATCTTCTCTAACACCATCCATTTACCTGTAAATACCATGATTTTGTTCTTTTTTTAATGCTGAGTAAAATTCCATTGTGTATTTATGCCATATTTTTTTTTATCCATTCATCCACTGAAAGGTATCTAGGTTGGCTCCACAGTTTAGCTATTATGAATTGTTCTACTATAAACATTGATGTAGCTGTGTCCCTGTAGTATGCTGTTTTTAAGCCCTTTGGATATAGTCTGAGGAGAGGGATAGCTGGGTCAAATGGTGGTTCCATTCCCAGTTTTCCAAGGAATCTCCATATTGCTTTCCAAATTGGCTGCACCGATTTACAGTCCCACCAGCAATGTATGAGTGTACCTTTTTCCCCACATCCTCTCCAACACTTTTTGTTGTTTGTCTTCATAATAGCTGCCATTCTGACTGAAGTGAGATGATATCTTAGAGTGGTTTTGATTTGCATTTCTCTGATTGCCAGAGATTATGAGCATTTTTTCATATATTTATTGATTAATTGTACATCCTCTTCTGAAAAGTGTCTGTTCAGGTTCTTGGCCCACTTGTTGATTAGGTTATTTGGTTTTTCAGTGTTTAGCTTTTTGAGTTCTTTGTATACCCTAGATATTAGTGCTCTAACTGATGTGTGAGGGGTAAAAATTTGCTCCCAGGATGTAGGCTCTCTACAACTGGTGCTTTCAAAATTTGTAGCAAACTTATTTTTTAGTACCCTAAGAGTTAGCAAGAAATAAAATCTCTAGAAAAATCTCATAGAATCTTGAGAAATTAACAAGGGCTGGGATGGAATTAAAGAGTCATAGGTAAATACCAAAGTGCTGTGCTTCCTTGCACCTGTATCTTCATTTTTCAATTTAAGAAAAACTAAGTCTATGATGTTTCATTTTGTGTTGTCAACTTGAATGGGCTATGGAGAGTCCACACGGTTTCTGGATGTGTCTGTGAGGGTGTTTCTGGATGAGAGTAGCATTTGAGTAGGTGAACTCAGTAAAGCCGATTGGGAAGGCCCAATGGAACTGGGCATCATCCAGTCCATTGAGGAACTGAATGGAGCAAAAGGAAGAGGAAGAATTCTCCACTTTTTTTCCTGACTGCTTGGGCTGGAACACCTCATCTCACTTCTTCCTGACCTCAGACTGACATTCACATCATCAATTCTCTGGTTCTCAGGTCCTCAGACTTAATTACTCCACTGGCTTCCCTGGGCCTCTAGCCTGCAAATACTTATGTGAGTCCGTTCCTCGAAATAAAATAATTTTTATATATAAAATCTATTATTTATATTAATTAATAAGTTATATATGTAACATAAATATTTATATGTAATAAACCTAAATTAATTACATATAATGAATCTTCATATAGATTTAGGTCTCCCGTTAGTTATATTTCTCTGGAGAATCCTGCTTAATGTTCAATTGAAAAGAATATTTGGGGCCCAACAAGTAGTACAGACTTCAAAATAAGAAACTAAGGAGAGGTACTAGGGAATGAAATTGACCAAATTATGTTGTGTGCATGTACAAATATATAATAATGAATCCCACTATGATATATAATTATAATGCAGAATAGAAAGTAAAAAATAAACCAAATATGTATCGATTGGCCAAATGCCCAAAACTAGAAATCTTTATCCTGGGAGAAAATGATCTGGCAGGATCTCTCAGTCCCCAGTCCATGTCATCGTCACGGTTCACATTCATCTAGTTAATGTCTGTGCTGCCCCATGACGATGTTACATCCAGCCTCCTTCTACCCTCCCTGAATCTTCATGCTGGTTTCTGTCCCAGGGCAACAGTAACACAATCCGTTAAGTACAGACACCAGCCTCTGGTTTAGTCCAAAGGTTATATCCTGAACTGTTTATTTTTTTCCTCATGGGACAACACAGATTATTTTCCATGCCCCTCTGTTTTGCCCAGCAAGTGATCCTTACTCTATTTCTCTACCACAATCCAGACACTTAGGGATAATGGTTGCAGTAATAACATCAATCAATATGTTTTACTGATGATCCAGAACCTGTCTAACACTTACTTCTTCCCACAGAATCTTCTCTAAAGCCCTATGAAGCTCCTGCTACTGGGGGCAATGCTCCCCCCACCCCCTGGATGTTTCACTCCGTGTGGAGAGGATCCGCAGGTGTAACACTCCAGCTGTTTTCCACTACCCTACGCCAGCTGAAGGACAGGCACTAATCTGAAGGAGAGCATAGGTGACAATAACAAGGGGAGGTCCCTTCTCCCTCCTGAGAGAGCATGCGCTGTGCTCTGCCTCATCAGGGGAGGCCTGTCCTGGTAGAAAGTTCTGGTTGTGAATCCTGTCTGTCCAAAAGACATTGCACATACTTTAATGTCTGCCTTCATGATACAGGGGGCATACTGACCTCCACCTGTCCTACACTTTGTTTTATTTCTGGTTAGGTCACAACATGATTGCAACAGGGAGAAGTGTTATTTAGCATGATACAACACACACACAAAGATGTAATAGTTACTATCCCCAAATGTACCCGTTTTATACTTAAAGAAACAGAGCCTTAAAGAGGTTAAGTAACTCGTCCAAGTTCATATAGCTTGTAAATAACAGAATCTAAATTCGAACTGGGTCTAATTTGAATCCCATGTATTTAGCCTCTGTGCTATATAGCTCCTCATAGGCTTTCTTTATATCCTAAGACTTGTATCTCCTAGTGCCATAACTTCCCAGGGAGAGAAGGACACATGATACCTTACCAACCCAGCATGGACCTTTATCTATACCCTGGATGGTCCCCAGTGGTGGTAGGGCTTCTTGGAAAGGACTCTGGACATCTTTTGAAAAGATTTCAGAGGGCTTCATCTTCACATCTATAAATGTTACAATTTAACATTTTTATACTATTCATCATTACAACAGTGGGATTAAAAGAAACCCTAAAAATAGCCTGAAAGGGGAATGTGGATGTATAAGGAGCATCTGGTGTGCTGGATAGGTTAGCACAATAGCTACTGGGCAGCTCGTTCATCCGGTATCCGTACCATTTGACATATGTTCAATGGCTTGTGTTCCATAAATATTAGATCACAACCAAAAAGGAGTAAGATCCTGTTTATTCACAAAGCCTTCAGATTGCCTATCTGCACCATATGTAGCCAAGTTTGTAAAGAGGTATTATTAAAGAATATAATTTTAAAAAGCATTATCAAATCCATCTCAGTAGCATATGAAGGGCTGGTTTTAAACATGAATTGAAAGTCCTAGAAGGGGCATCCCTCCCCTCCCACCCGGGGGCATA